AAATGAAAAAAACCAAGAATTATCAGTACCTGGATGAAAATTGCAAAAAGCTCAAAAGATCCATCGGTCTAGATGGCGCAGAGACACCCAGAGAAAATAAGGACTTAAAGTTGGCACTTGCCTTAGAAAGTTGAAAGACCTTAAGGATGTAATAAAGGGAGACAGTGTAAATTAGGAACTAAAAAAAGCAAGGAAAAAAACTATATAAGAATGGAAATTAGCATTTGATATGCTATGAATGTTTTTTTAAAACTATAAAAATGTAAATAGCATTTATTTATTTACAAACTTTAAACAGAGCTTATATACTGGAAGTCACAAATCAGTAGCCCAATGGGCTATATCCAACAGAAGTGTTTTATTTGACTTATTCTGTGTGTGTGTGTGTGTGTGTGCATGTGTGTTTGTGTGTGTGTGTTTTAGTTGAATGAAGTTCCACCATATTTAAATCAGGAGATTTCACGTAAAAATCTGGATTATCAGACTTCTCTTAAAACACTAGGATAGGGGTGCCTGGGTGGCTCAGTTGGTTAAGCAACTGCCTTCGGCTCAGGTCATGATCCTGGAGTCCTGGGATCAAGTTCCACATCGGGCTCCCTGCTCAGCGGGGAGTCTGCTTCTCCCTCTGACCCTCTTCCCTCTCATGCTCTCTATCTCTCATTCTCTCTCTCTCAAATAAATAAATAAAATCTTTAAAAAAAAAACACTAGGATATATTTTTAAAATTTTTTTATTGTTATGTTAATCACCATACATTACATCATTAGTTTTTGATGTAGTGTTCCATGATTCATTGTTTGTGCATAACGCCCAGTGCTCCACGCAGAATGTGCCCTTTTTAATACCCATCACCAGGCTAACCCATCCCCCCACCCCCCTCCCCTCTAGAACCCTCAGTTTGTTTTTCAGAGTCCATCGTCTCTCATGGTTCGTCTCCCCCTCCGACTTACTCCCCTTCATTCTTCCCCTCCTGCTATCTTCTTCTTTTTCTTTTTTCTTAACATATGTTGCATTATTTGTTTCAGAAGTACAGATCTGTGATTCAATAGTCTTTCACAATTCACAGCGCTCACCATAGCACATACCTTCCGCAATGTCTATCACCCAGCCACCCCATCCCTCCCACCCCCCCACCACTCCAGCAACCCTCAGTTTGTTTCCTGAGATTAAGAATTCCTCATATCAGTGAGGTTATATGATACATGTCTTTCTCTGATTGACTTATTTCACTCAGCCTAACACCCTCCAGTTCCATCCACGTCGTTGCAAATGGCAAGAGCTCATTCCTTTTGATGGCTGCATAATATTCCATTGAAAACACTAGGCTATTTTGCATCACTGGGTCCACATTCATCCAGACAACATTCAGCATACACTCACCAATTTACCAAAGTTTATCAATCTCTTTCACTCATGTCTGCCTGGTCTCCAAAGCGTTTGAAGTTTCAACACCTCCCAACTACAGTGTACTAACAGTTCAGTTATGGTCACAAAATAATAAATATTATCAATATTTCTTGACAATGTGAAAACAACCCATGACTGAAGCTAGGGGTGAAGGGTAAGAGGAAATGAAAGCAAGAATAGAAAGGATAACACCTTCATCTTTCAAATTCAAAACTCGGGAATTTATACAATAAGGTCTAAATGTTAAGATACATTATTCAAAATTATAAAATCACAAATAGAGGAATTAAAAAATAATGTAACTATATTGGGATGGGAAAAGGAAAGTGAGAGATTGATTTAACTGCCATAGCAGGTTGTGCATAGATGTCTAAAACTGATAAACCAAAGGCTAGTCATATAAACATTTTTAAAAACAAATTAGTTTCAGAGTTCATAGTAATTCCCTCTAGGACTGAGACTGTGTTTGTATGGTGGGGTGTGGCAGGATATTGTTGCTTTTATTTTTTTAATCTTTTTAAAGATATATTTATTTATTTAAGAGAGAGAGAGAGAGAACGAGTGGGGGGGAGAGGCAGAGGGAGAGAATTTTCAAGCAGCCTCCCTGCTGAGTGGAGCCCAATGCAGTGCTGGATTCCAGGACCCTGAGATCGTGACCTGAGTAGAAATCAAGAGCCAGGTGCTTAACCATCTGAAGCACCCAGGCACCCCAGGGGATGGCTTCTTTTCACTAGAAGACATCTTTTCTCCCACCAGCCGTTTGGAGTCCGAAGTGAAAATGCTGTAAGATTTAGATAGTCAAATTAGTAACGTGTTTATTTAATTCTTTAATTTGTAGGTTTTTATTTAAGTTTTTAACATGTGCATACAATACTTGGATAATGGGTGAAACACACATACTTTACACTCAAAGGAATACACAGAACAGTTAGAAATTTTAGAAGAAATGTGGTTGCAACATTTAAAATAATGCAATTGTGCAATATTGATGCAAAAGTCAACATGCAAAATGAAACAAAAAACACCAGCATATATATGAAACAGGATTTTAAGATGCAACTTTCCATGTTATCCCAGTTTCAACTAACAGTACAACAGCACAATTCATCCACAATTCCAATGGCTACCATGGCAATGTATGCTAAAGGATTTCCAAAAGTTGTGGATTGAAACCAGATCCCCTATCATTACCATGTGAGAGGTGACTAAGGAATCAGTTGAAGAGACTAGAGAAAGAGAATTGGGGGGAGGGGTGATAAATTGCTCTTGTGCCATAGCACTAGGTCTGGTGAGCATGAATGTGTCTTTTTCCTATTAGATTATAAGCTTATTTTGTTAAATAAGTGTATTTTGCATATGAAGCCTACATGTAGTAGGAACTGAAATACGTTTTTTTTTAAGATTTTTTATTTATTCATTTGAGAGATAGAGAGAGAGCAAGAACATGAACAGAGGGAAGGTTCAGAAGGAGAGAGAGAAACAGGTTCCCCACTAAGCGGGGAGCCTGACACGGGGCTCGATCCCGGGACTCCAGGATCATGACCTAAGCCAAAGGCAGACGCTTAACTGACTGAGCCACCCAGGTATCCCTGAAAAACATTTTTAAAGTCCAATTCAGTGTGATATCAAAGATCCAAACTTTGATCCGTTATAAAGTTTGTTTCCTCTTCCCGGCTCAGGCCGGCGCTGGCTGCAAAGCCTATTTGGAAAACCTGGGGGCTGGCCAGGTTCTTCTTTCTCCCTCAACTCTCCCTCCTCTACCTTCTTTGCCCGGTATCTTTGACTTGTTCTAAGATCAGGCTTAGCACAAAGGTTTAAGAGAAAAAGTTACAGTTTGAGGTGGCTCTCCTGAAAAAGGGCAAGAAAAATAGGCCAGCTAGAGTGGTCTGCTTAGTGATAGAACAAAGAGAGAATGCTTTATTTTCACTGATAGTAGGGCCAAATAGGAGTTTCCCAGAGTACTGTGACATGGCACAAACATGGCCCCTGTGAGGGGAAAGCGGCCATGGGCATCTTGAAAAGGACTCCACACAAAATAATGTCTGAATGAGGACAGCCACCCAGCAGAGTGGTGACCTGCAAGAAACTGAGACCCTGAAGGGACGTCAACCAGCAAGTTGAAGGATCCTGCCTAAAGCAACAGAAATGGAGTTGAGTTTCCCAGCAGTCAGATCTCTGAGGAGACCAATAAGTGACCTACAGGAAAAATATTTTAGCGATAATAGTCTCTTAACACTTTTATGGGAACGTATTACATATATTTGTTAATTGAATCTTCCCAACAACCCGATATGGTAGAATGGAGTATTATCCCCAAATAACAAATGATGAAACTAAAGCACAGAGGGGCTAAATAATGTGGGCCAGGACACACAGTTAGCAACTAGCAGAGCTATGATTTGAATCCAGGGACTCTGACTCCAGGGTCTAGATTTTTAATGGACTGTATTAAAGGACCCCCTTGAAAAAGAGACACCAATTGTTTGTTGTGTGGTTGCACACAGAGGCCTCAGTGCCAGGTTACAACTATCCCAGCCACCAAAATTCTTATTAAGTTCCACTTATGTCTTATACATTTTCCTTGCAAGGAAAACAGACCAATGAAAGTCTGCTAGAGAACGAAAGTGGCCCAGTTGCTCAATCACCCCCAGCTAATAATCAATCAACTGCCACATGTAAGCAAGTTTAATAGAGACCAGAATAAGCAACCATACTAAACCACTGGCCCATGAACTCATGAATTAAATAAATGCCTGTTGTTTGTTTCAAGCCACTGAGTTTCTGGGTAATTCATAGCAATAGATAATTGATACTCTCTTAAATGAAGATTTCCTTCTGCAGTCACCAAGGAAATAATCAAAGACTTAGCAATTGAGTGGGAATGACAGTAGAAAGGAGTTTTCCAGAGAGTGGCTACCAGTGATACCTAGAGAAGCCAGAGATCTATTTACAGGGAAGATACAGGATTTATAGGCTGCTCCGATAGCCACATAGGCAGGGAGGGCTGCCCCAGGAAGGAAGCTACGTGCTGTATGGTGGCTTTTAGACTGGATCATCCATGAAGGTATTCAGCATGTGCTTTTATCCAGACTTAGCAGATGGCCTATTAAATTGTTCAGTCCCCAATTCAGTGCTTACAGGCAAGAATTTAAATTGTATTTTACATATCAGTCTGGCAACATAAGCCTTAGATGATGCTCATGGAGGGCTAAGGGTATTGGTACAGGAGAGCCTATTTGAAAACAGTGTAGTCCTATATTAAGAATCACAAACATAATCAATAATAGCCATTGACCTAGAAATCTCAATTCAGAGCATTCATTCTAAGAATGAATTCTTAGAATTAAAATCTTAGAATTCTTAGAAAATTCTTAGAATTAAAGTCTCAGTGGCACACCACTGTATCTGGACAGCCATCCAAATACAGTCCATTACCAAATAGAGAACATTCTCATTCTGTTAGCTGATCATAAACTTATAGAAAAAGGATAGGGCAACTTCTAATGTCAACTTTTTATACTGTATCATCTTTCAGTCAATAGTCAGGTTACCACTAGTGAGTGGGAGCCTCATTTCCCACGATCTGCCTCCTTCTTTCTTATTTGATCTTTAAACCACACTCCAAACCCTCCATATACATCCGTGGTCCTTACTCCATTATGGTGGCATTCCAGGAGGTCAGGGCCATGAAGTCTTTGCCTCAGGTTCTGTCCTGGGAGAAAATAAGTGAAACTCGTGATAGTCTCCAAAGGAACAGGCTTAGGACTTCACAGCGAAGCATCTACAAGAGCACCAAACTGATTATATAATCATTCCACGTAGTTTGATGATGATTTGTTAAAAGGTATCTTTCCCATTATAGGTAAGAACGAAGAGGATAAAAAATACATATAATTAGATTTTTTGCAATATTGTTGTTATTAAAATTTTGTGAATAATTTTATTTCCTAACCATAGGGAATTTCAAATAAATTCTAAATAATTGCTGTTCCCTGCTAGGTTTCCACTTGACTGGTTTTTTCTCACCACTCTTTACAGAAACCTTCAGAGATTACCACCCACCACTACCCTCCAACAGTTTCTCATTGTCTCATTTCTGTGTTATATTTTTATAATAGCTGTAATCACTATTTAAATATATCTTTAAATAATTTGTCTCTAAGTTAAGCGTCTGCCTTCAGCTCAGGTCATGGTCCCAGGGTCCTGTGATTGAGCCCTGCATCAGGTGGGCACATGCTTCTCCCTCTGCCATTCCCCCTATTTGTGCTCTCTCTCTGTGCCAAATAAAAATAAATAAATAAATAAATAAAAGAATTTGTCTCTGTTTATCATCTATCTTCTCCCATGAGGATGTAGCCTTTTTGAAGTCAAGAACCTTATACATCTTGCTCACTAAAGTATCTCCTGCATATGGGACAGATCATGGCACATAATAGGTGTGCAATAAAATATTTGCTGAATGAACAAATTTTAGACATTAAAATTATAAATATAAAAATGTATGGCTTGGTGGAAAAAAATCTTACATTTAATTGCTTAAATACAAACAACATAAACTGATTTAAACTGTTAAAATATTTTGCATATGAATTAAAGAAACAATTACAATAGCTTAATTTACTGAGGCAGAATAATTATAAATAACATTTTTTCTTGTATTATGAGTCATCTTAATGTAATTAAAACAGTGTTTACGAATTTTTAATTACCCAGCCTAACCTTGCTCATGTGTATGAAATAACATGAAGGCATATTTTGGCTTTCCTGGTGAAAAAAGCTGGTGGACAGTAGTATAAACTCAAATCCTTGAAATACTCAGGGACTAATTTAGATATAAGAAACTAATGGCTTTAACAAGTACAAAATAAATCTTGGTTGAAATTCATGTTTCTCTGAAATGTAGATCTTAAGTTCTGCATTAATTGTAAAAGAGTGTTTTGAGCTTGTTAATACAGGAAAGCAAAACATCAAACATCATCTTGCTTATATGCCTTTAAGCTTTTCCATAAGAAGTAATGACTATTCACAAAAGATTTGTTTTTGCGGAGTTGGCCTCACCATGCCAAGGAGGAAGATGATGCAACAGTATCATTCCTTAAAAATTCAAGCTCCAAGCTCCAGGGTACACGAACCTCCATAATGACTATTACCTTGTAGCTTTGTCATTACTTATTTATATGTATGTCCCCCCGCCACCCCGTGGAACTATAAACTGCTTGAGGGCAAGAGTATATTCATATTATTTGTTGGGTTAAAATAATTCAATAGTCTATACTTGAGCACCTTAGATACTAAAAGTTTGCAGGAAATTGATCTTCAGATATGAAAAGATATCATGTACCTACTCTGTATATTTACTCTCAAACAGGATAAGCAAGAATTTGAGTCTGTTTACAACAAAGAAGCACACAAGAGAATAGTGGGTTACAATTCAAAATTTCTAAAGTCAGGGAAAATTCTATTTGAATATATAGTCAAAGCAAAGCCGGTGATAAGAAAGAAGGGAGTCTCACCTCTACAGACATAAATGGCCCCATAGTGGCTGTAGATGAAACTCAGATTTGGTGTTGTTACTCCTGGTAGCAAAAGCAAAAAATGGGACCCAGTCAGTTAGTTTTTATTATCATAAAAACCAGGGAAAGGAAGAAATCATTACCTAAATGCAGGAAAAGAAACAAATCATTACCTAGATCTTAGCTATGAGAGAAATACTTGAGGTACATTACAGGTTAATCATATGAATAATATTTCTGTGTAATATCCCCAGAGCAAATGTAATAAAGAATTTTAAGGTTGTTTCTCAACATCTTCCCCCATGAAAGCCGAGAGCTAACCACCACAAGGTAATTCTGCAAAGACAATTCATTCACAATTCATACCAAGACAACATAATCCAAGGATATATTTCTCTGTCCTTTAAGCCAGAGGTGAGCAAACTACGGATTGCAGACCAAATTCAATCCACAGCCTAGTCTTATAAATAAAGTTTTATTTGGACCCAGCCACAGCCATTCATTTGCTTAGTGTCTGGGGCTGCTTTCATGCTACAACAATAGAGTTGAGTAGTTGCTACATACTGTATTGTCGGTCCACAGAGCCTAAAACATTTACTATGTGGCCCTTTCAGAGAAAGTTTGTCAGCCTGGGCTTTAAAGCAAACCGCTATTGTTACCACTTTTATCCACAGAGCTTTTGATGAGAGTTGGGATAGCAAACAACTTGTTGATTTCAGTTGAATTTATACACTAGGCAGAACCACATGAAACTGCTAATTTTCGATTTTATTTTTTTATTTACAAAAACATCCAATTTACACAGTTCAATCTAACACTTTAGAAAAAAATAAGATTGAAATCTTGTTATGAAAATTAAAGAGCTAAATAAGTCTTTTACTTGGATGGGTAATAATCCTCCCATTAAGAATGGGACATGAAATATTGTGAAGCAAAGCCAGGATATTTCTGAAGAAGGAATTTTAATCTTCCCACAACATAAAGCCAGACCTAACAATATTTCAATTTTTGAATGCTACCATTCCAAGTAAGAGAAGAAGAAAATATTAACCATCCTAATTAAAAGCCCAATTTAATGTCAAATTCAGCAATGATGGCTACTCATTTGGCATGATGGTTTCTACAGCACTAAGGACATAGTGGCTATTCAATATATATCCCTTTAATTCTCTAACAGTACATAACATCATTTCATGAAATTTTAAACAAAAATGTGGGTAGATCCATCTATGCACTGAAAATGGTACAGCTTGAAACATCAACAAAACAATATCAATTATCAGTAATAGATGTTTATATGAGAATAAGTTGGTACATTTCTTTAAGGCATAATCAATATCTCACTAATATCCTACTATACACACACTATACCAGTGGCTACAGAGAAATATAGGGTTTAGTTCTTTTGGGCAAGGGACTTTCAATCTAGCTGGTGAAACATCTATTAAGAAGATAGAGTGGGAGCCCATAAGGCATTGCCCTAATGAAGTGCTAAATGAATAAAACTGACAATAAGTGAACCATTGCTGTATTGTGTTGAATTCACTCTGCATGAAAATCAAGCAGGAGTCAAGAGGCCCCAAGTCTAGTTTCAACTGTGACGTTTCCTAGCTAGAATATAAATTATTTTATTTAACACTGTTAAGCTTGTTTATTTTGCTCAATTGCACATGCTTCAGTTCAGGAGAAGCCTGAAGTAATTACCGCATCACCACTAACAACTTTGGAGCCCTGGGTTTCTGTGGAAGACCTTCTGTGGAAAGGGCTCAACAGATATTGGACTCAATTTGCATTTTAAGGAGTTTGGAAACATTTTAAATATCATAATATTTAGAACACTCCAAGGAGTTATAAGCCAGATGTCAGCACATTGGAAACCACCAATGTATTAACTTGTGTTTCCAGTTTGACTCATTTTTGAATGGACCTCAGAATAAAGGGTTCTCCCACAAGGAAATCCTGAGATTACAAAGTGATCTGTGAAACCTCCCACTTGCAACTAGTTTTCTGTCTAAATCAAGATATGTAATCATATGCAAAAACACAAAAATACTAAAATAAATGAGGTGCTAAGGATTTGGATTTCACAAAATCATGAGTGCCCCATAGTAGCTCTGATTCCAAGGTTTTGTATTAATCAAAACAACTCCTTTAGTTTCATTTATTCACTATATAAAGAGTAAATATGTTCAGTTTACACTTATAAAGTCATTTTTACTAATAAAATACCATCTGTTTTTATATAGCGGAGTTCAATTTCAGATTTTATTCTAAAGGAGTTATTTCTGCAGACATGATCTGAAAAGTCATTTCCAAATCAAATAGTGTATGAGTCTCCGGGCAAAACTCTGTTTTACAACAGAAATAGAAAACAATATCCTTGTGCCTTAAGATTTTATAATCTCATACACTATATACAAGGCAACTGCCAGATTCTGCTTACTAGTTATAAAATATTTGCTCTTCCCACTTGGTTTTGCACAACACCTGCAATTTAATCAGGATGTTTTTGGGTGTGCCCACACTTCCCTGTCAACATTACAGTTTTGGGCAAATGCCAACCTGTAAGAGATTTTCATCTTGAGACTGTTTCCCTTCTTGCAACATCAGTTGTACTGTTGCCAAAAACATCAACCTACTGAGGGAACATCCCCTTTTACCCACTCCCATCCATTTCTGGACTCAAATAATAAACACTTAATGGCTACATCTGAATCAAGCTTTCCTTAGTAACAGACCTAAAACAATCCTCACCATCCTTGTGGGTCAGTCTTTTTTTCTTTTTTTTTACATGTTCTGAATACCCTAAGTATTAGGCTACTCTGTTTTTAATTTTTGCTTTTGTCCCTTTCTGTCAAAGAGGATTCTTGTAAGATTGGGAACTTCCAAAATATCCACTCCATCATCCTAAAAGAACTTAGCTCTCTAATTCTACACAGGAGAATAAGTCATTTCTATTTCTACCCATCGTGGTATCTGAGAATGTTAACTTCCTCAGTAGCAACAAAGAGCTTTGTCCTTTCTTACATGGTGGACATTACTTGTTAAGTGTGATCAAACCCAGGAGCCAATTTCCTAGTGAGATGAAATGCTAGAGAAAACAGCTCTGATCACCAAACAATGACTCAGTATGTTAAAAGGACAAACCTAAACTGAAACAATGCTGTTGAATATATTTGTGGCTTCCGAGAAAGAAGTTTGTAGACAAGAATGCTATATTTATCTAGATTTGGGTCTGTATTCTGTTAGAAAGACTTTTCTTTCATTGCTATTGCATTTTTAATATCAGAGCAAACTATGATTGCTCACATTGCTCAAAGTTGTTAAATATTTATGCTTTCTTGGATGTCTTAAGAAGGAAATGCACCTAATAGAAACAATCTGCTAGAGTGGTCAATAGGCCTGGTTTGGACTACGGTGGATGATATTATTCAATCTGGTGAATTATTTAGACTTGTATGTTTTAAGGATTAGAAATATTTGTTAGCTAAATTCTGTCACACTCAATAATTGTCTATATAATATTGAGGATAAAATATTATGACTTTTTTAAACTATCTTGTGTCTGTTCTCCTGATATGCTCAGAATTATTACATAGAGTACAAATTAAAAGCAAATTTACCCTCAAATTTCTAAAATAGTGAATGAGATAACAAGTCCTAAGAATAAAGTATAAAATCAAAATCCTTTACTGTGGTTTCCAACCCACTTCCCCATATATATAACATTTTTTTTCCCTAGCTCATTCTACACAAGCCACCCTAGACTTCCTCCCATTCTTCAACACACCTGGCTTCATACTGGCTTAGAGACTTTCCAACTGCCACTCCTTTTTCTGAAATGGTTTTCTCCAATTCTTCATAGAACTTAACCACAAGAGCAGAGAGTTTTTAAAGCAAGGCGTTGGGAGCATGAATCCCAGGACATAGTGAATTAATGTATGTAAATGACTAGAATATAATTAAGTGCTCAATAATTATAGATCATTATTGTTGGGCTTGTCATTGTCACCCTTCTGTTCTCAGCTCATATGTTACTTCCCCACACAGACAGGCTTCCCTGAACATAGAGTTTCTCCTGCCTCCCTTCTCCAAGCAGTCACTCTCTGTCACATAATCCTTTTATTTCCCTCCTCGCAAATGAGGATTGCCTAATAAGTAGCATTTTAGAGAAAAGCTAAACTCTGGATGGATGGCTTTATTTTTAATGGTCAGAAATGCTTTCTCTAGTTTCGGCAGCTAAGAAAATATGTTAAACCCGTCACAGTGATAGTAATGAAAAGTCGGTACTTATTTTTAAGTGAGTGGGATGACAGTTTAAGTGGCCTGTGGTTTCTTATTTATGGGTGAAGGGGCTAACTTAAGGAAACTCATGATTATATATAACATGCTCTCTTGCCTTCTGAGCAAGTCAAGGCAGTAATATCTCAGGCAGACAGTGACTAGGAAGTGTTTATTCTTATTTTTAAATCCAAGATTTGAAATTATGTTGAGTAATTTACATTCAATTTGTGTGGGGAAGATAGATTGAAGAGAGGAGAGTCTTGGGAGTGGTATTCTAGCCTCATCTCAGAGATCATAATTCTTCTCTATCCCTTATGCAAATTATAAAATTACTGCTTTATGAAAAATCACCACCCAAAAATATAATGTTGGATGAAAATATAAATCTGTTCCAGAAAGTGTTAGGTAAACTCTTGTACAATAGAGCTAGTGAATCATTAAATATAGCATATCCTTTAACTTTGGGAAATTGTCTTTCTTGGGGACAAACAAGGAAAACAATGAACTTTGATGCCTATATGAGCAAAGTCCTGGGGTTGACGGTTACTCTGACCACCCCATCCCCAACACAAACACCCTGGATTTCTGATATTCCTTCTTCCCATTCCTTTCTCTGGTCATTCTTTTACTCCTCGCCATCTTTTTTTTTTTTTTTTAAGATTTTATTTATTTATTTTGACAGAGAGAGAATGAGAGCGAGAGAGGGAACACAAGCAGGGGGGCTGGGAGAGGGAGAAGCAGGCTTCCCGCGGAGCAGGGAGCCTGATGCAGGGCCTGATCCCAGGACCCTGGGATCATGACCTGAGTCAAAGGCAGACGCTTAATGACTGGGCCACCCAGGTGCCCCACTCCTCTCCATCTTTAGACAAAATGAGAAAGACAGAAAACATTTCCAGTACAAGATGGATTAGTGGGAGAATATTTTGGAAAAGTCAGTTCTTTCCTTTTCTTCCTGTACTTTAATGTCTAATCTATAATCAAGAGTCTGGAACTCTTGATTTCTCTGACAGTGATCTTTTCACCAGACACTTCCCCAATGCTGTTCACCATAACACAGCTCCAGCCATCAGAGGCAACCCTACCTTCTCATTTCACAATCAGCTGTTCTACAAACATGAAAGCTGAAGCCAAGAAACAGCGAACAACTTACCAAGTTTATTTCAAATCAGTGAAGATGGTATTAATACTCATGCTTATAAATTTCTTGACTCATGGATAAAGTGAGAGACAAGTTGCCTCATTTCATGCTTTGAAATAACCAAGTATTTAATCTTAATTTTGCTCTTGTAAGTATGTATTCTGAAGAGCAACCTGACTCTTGCATAATTCTTTGGAGTGGGAGAAAGGGAAAGTCCTGTGAGGGCGGGTGGGAAGCAATTAGGAAGGAGAGGGAAGGGTGGAGTGGGCGGAAGGCTAATCCATGGAAGGGTGCTGCATGGGTTATGAAGAAACAGTGGGTCTTTGGTCCAACTGGTCTGACTCAGCCCTAGGAAATAGATCATTATCATCAACTTTGTCTCTGCAAAGGAAAGATTGGAGCTGCAAATGAATATGCAAGCACTTGTTAGACAAGTGGAATGGATTGTCATGTTTATACGTATGTATATGATTTATGAAGCACTCACCATGTACAATATGTGTGCTGGAAGTTTTGACTACATTATCTCATTTAATTCTTACAACAACCCTAGGATGAAGGTATCACTATCTTCATTGTGGAATTGCAAAGAAGGCTTAGGGAAATTAAGTATCTTGCTCAAGATCACATAGTTAACAACATGGAGAAGTGAAGCTGCTAATCCTGATTTCTAAAGTCTTAAATACCAGTAGTTAAGCCTCCTATAGAGAAAAAAAAATCTCTATTACCATAGTGAAAAGTTGTATGCCTGTGTACACACTTGACTTTGCCACTGCATGCTCTTTGAGACCATAAATTTTTTGGTTTGTTTTCATATCTGTGTCTTCAAAGCAGCCTACCCCAAATCCTGCCATACATGTGATGTTCAGTTAATGTCTTTTATTTCCATGTAAATGCTCACATTAGCAAGGAGCAAACTATGATTAATAATAACAGCAGGAGCTGATAGATAAGTGGCAGCAGTGATCATCTGTCCCCACCCTCACTTAAAACTCCAAAGGATGGTGGACAAAGGAAGTTGCAAGAGGCTGCTTTACAAGCAGTCTGAGATGAGGGAGCAGTTGGGGAAGTCTATCAAGGAGACACAAGGTCAGCGTGCCCTGCCTCACAGTCACCATTAACCACAAGGCATAGAAGCTAGTGGGTGTGACTTGTACCATTATGGGAATCATTTGAGAGAGCTCTTTGGGTTCTTGAGGTTGCAACATTTTTCATGTATTATACAGACACACATTTTGTGTGTATTTTAATGTCTTCTCTCATCTCTCCTCACCTCATTCCCATCCCCTCCCCACCCCATCCCCACCATCACCATGTTTTTCCAAATACGACCAGCACTTCTAATTCATGATCGGAACAATGAATTCGAAGACTTAAACAACAAATACATGGAATTCCCTCAATCTCTCTTTATTAAACTTATATATTACAATAAACTGTAGCCACCATAAATAATTCTACAGTTCTTTATCAGCCATCTTCACAAAGATATTTCAGAAATTAGATATACACGTGTTCTATTTTTTTCTCTCTGAACAGAATGAGAGAAAAAAAATCACTAACAATAACATGTCCTTTTCAAAATTTCTCTCAAAATGATAATATTTCCAGTTATGAAGTAGTCAAAAAATCTTTATTGAGAGCCTACTATGTACAAATGCTAAGAATTGATTTTGAGAATTCAAAGGAGTATAAGAACAGGTCCCCTGCCCTGAGTTTCAAATCTAGGTATAAAGAGAAGAGCATCACATATGAAGGTCAACAGGATAAGGGACAGTATGTGCAAGAGGCAGCATGTTACTTCAGGTGAGTAACAAGTACTCTGGAAGATGAGAGGAGATATAGCCAACTGACTTGTGCTTCAGGTGGTCAGAGAAATTTTCATGAAGACAAGACATGATCAAGAACTTGAAGGATTGGCTAACAGGAAAAAAGTAATTACAAATCTTCCTTGATTCACAGTGGGATTACATCCTGATAAACCCATCGTAAGTTGAAAAGATCATCAGTTGAAAATGCATTCTATACACCTAACCTACAGAATATCATAGCTTAGCCTCCCCTACCTTAAACAAGTACAGAACACTTACATAAGCCTAGGCTACAGTTTAGCCTACAGCAAAATCATCTAACACAAAGCCTAATATATTATAAAGTGTTGACTATTTCACGTCATGTATTGAAAGCTGTACTGAAAGTGAGAAACAGAATGGGTGTATGGGTACAGAACAGTTGTAAGTCTATGTGTTGTTCATCTTTGAGATCGCATGACTGACTGGAAGTGTGGGTCCTTGCCGCTGCCCAGCATCACCAGAGAGTATTCCACCATGTATCACTGGCCTGAGAAAAGATCAAAACTCAAAATTCAAAGCGGAGTTTTTACTGAATGCATACTGCTTTCACACCAACATAAAGTCAAAAAAGCATAAGTCAAACCATCCTAAATGAGGGATCAGCTGTATTTATTAACTGCTCTTAATAATTATACTATGCTGTTTCTTCCCCGACTCTTGATACTTTTCTCAAACCTCCTCTTCTTCCCAGTTGCCCTCAGAAATCCAGAAGTCATCTATGACATCTCCCTCTCCCTCATTTTCCCACATCTAATTGGTCAAGGAGTCCAGCTGATTTCCCTCAAAAATGAGCGTCAAATGCAACCCCTTTTCTCTATTCCCACTGCTAACACCGTAGCCTGCAATACCAATATGTTAGCTCCCTACCTGTTCTCATGAAGCTACTCCTGCCTGTCTCCAAACACTTCTCCTCACAGTAGCCAATGGAATCTTTTACTAAGCCTAAATAGGATTATTTCTTGGCTAAGGTCATTCAATGGCTCCTCATAGTCCTGAGAATAATTTAGTATGTCCTTAATATGCTTCTCAAGGATGTACCTATTTTTCGTCCTCATTGGCTTCTGCAGTCACAGACTCTACCACCCTGTCCTGATAACAAACACCACCCTGACAGGACTCCGTAGTGGGCAAACTCACCAAATAGTTCCTTCTTCTTGTGTTCTGGAATGTTCTTCCCTTCAGTGTTCACATGGATAACTTCTATTCAATCATTATATCTCAGCTTAACTATTCTTTCATAAGAAAAGTCTTCTCGTACCTCAATCTACATTACCAACCCCCCCAATCCCTGATAATATCTCTCAAATGCCCTATAATTTACAATGATACACTTAGAGTTTTACTTAAAGACTATTTCTCCATTAGTCTCTAGGCTCAGTGATAGTAGGAACCATGTGTATTTTATGCACCATGATAGTGTCAGTTTCCAGTCCCCCACCAAAAAACAAATAAATGAATAAATAAATTACTCAATTTCAACACTTAAGTTAGTTTCCACTCTTTTCCACCAATACTGTTCCATGGTTTACTTTAAGTGTCAAAGCAATTAACAAGCTTAAAAGTTCTACAAATTTTCAACATCCAGGGATTACATATATTTTCTTATTAGTCAATGCCACAAGCTCTGCCCCTCCTTCCCTCTAAACTCAAGAGTTT